CATTTTTTTCCGGAAAATATACTTATGATATCAATATTAGTATGCATTTTATATGTTAGTTAACTAAAAAATCGGAAATTTCACAACCCCCTAATTCCAATTCCGAAACATTCTGACTTTGGAACAGAGTTTTTTCATTCCGGTTTCAGATTTTTGATTTTTCAATACCTATAAAACGAAATTTGAATAAAAAAAATTACTTTTGAAAAAAAAATAGCTTTTCATTCATCAGATTTTCACCCCGGTTTGTGTTTCATTTTATAATTTCGGGATATTTCAAAAGTTGGGCCTATGTCACGTTGACATGTTTCATTGACCTTCATGTATTACGAATTAAAACTAAGTTTTTAATCGGTAGCCTAGTTTTAATTGACGTTGATATATTACGAATTGAAATTATGTTTTTATTCGGTAACCTAATTTCATTGATATTGATATATTACAAATAAAAAATTATTTTTTTATTTGGTAGCCTAGTTTAAGTTATGTATTCAATTATTTGCTATAATATGCATAATCTTCTTAATTTTTTTTTCTTGTTTAGAATATTTTCAATAATTTTATCCAATATTAGATGTTTTTTATTGATATAAGAAATATGGAGGGGTTAGAGATTGGATTAAGTTGCAAGTGTAGATGCACATGGGAGGGAAGGAGAGGTGGATCTATAGTTGCTTTTATTGCTCCAATGCTATTTAAAACATTTAAATAATATTTCTTTGGTGTTAAAGTACTCCGCCATTTCTTGTTAAATGTCGTTTTTAGCGCTGCCTAAATATTAAAAATCTCGATAAAGGCATCTTGATTTAAGTTAATTGTGCATTTCCGAAGAGATTCTTTGTAAACGATTTATCGTGAATAATAAAGATTGATCCTTACCGAGTGGATGCAGGCCAATTCCATCGGCGGAACCATGTGAATTTTGAGTGTTCTTTATTGCTTTCATGATCTTCTTCATCGTAGTTTGTTATTATAGTTAACAAACTATAATTACATATCAAAATTGAGTCGATTTACCTTTTTAACGCATGCATTAATTAATTATAGAAGACAGAAAAAAAAAACTTATAAAATGACAAAAATACCCTCTCATTGTTTCAGTTTTAATTATCTTTTAAAATAAACAATGATTTAAAATATATAAAATATGAATTTCAAAATTCCCAAAGTTCAAAATTTTAGAAGTTGGAATGAATTTTTAGTTTTTGAATTTTTTTTAAATCAAAAATTTATTGTGCACTTCCCAAAAGCAAAATAGAAAATTACAAAAATTGTATTTTCCATATGTACACTTTATGGAGACCACTTAAAAGTTGATGAAAATTTGCAATCATGTCAAATCTAAATCATATAACTACTGTTTGATGATTTGTACACAAAGTAATTTAAACCTTTTTTGCACAATATAATCTTTAAAAGTACATCTCATTAGTTTGTCACATCGCCGACTGGGAAAAGAGATTTTATTTCTTTCTTTATTTCTAAGTATCTAAATATAAATATAAGACAAGAAAAAAAAATAGGAACAATTTATTATTAAAACGAAAGAGTACAATTTTTGGAAATTCCCTTTATTTTTCTCTTATAATGATTTCTACGAGGAGGCTCGAGACTTGAGCTTGAAAACTCGATATGTGTCTATGTGAATCTGAATTTACATGAATCAGAGGTCTCTTTTTATGAACACTAAGCTAAGATTTTGACTTGTAACACAAGCCGCGACATTTATGAAGCCCATGTTTATTATTGACTTTTAATTCAAGACCCAAATTAATGTCGACTTGATGATTTGTCTCAAATTTCGATTTTTACCAATTCAATCCACATTTTTTTTCTTGTGGTATGGTGGATAGAATAAAACTTATAATTAGCTTATTTCTGCACTTGTTATTCAACTTTAATTTGTATATATTGACTATTGTCATCAAGATTCTCAAAATTGAACAAGAAACCAAATACTTATTCATATTCCTTTTCAAAATCATGCAATTTGTTGAATTTCAATAGACAAATAAATTTTACTGATACTGTACTATGATTATAACCAGTTGAAATCACCAAGAACAGTAACTAAAACCAAAGACAAAGGATACAGCATACAAGCAAAGACAGCTGTCCAAACAGGAAAAACAGTGCTGAAACTTGCCAAGCATCCCATAACAGCACACACAATTAGCACCATAAGAACCTCGACGGAGAAATCCCACGAAAATCCACGGAAATAAATCAGCGAAAGAAGTACCGAAAACCCCAGAAGATTGTTCATCAACACCGTCCCGTATATCTTCACGCAATATTTAAAATAAAATAAAATTAATATGTTTAGTGCCAAAACAGGAAATAGTATTGAGTCATCAAAGAAGAGAGGAGAAAAAAGAAACTATTATAATTACCTCGGAAAATGTCAACGAAGTGATGTTTAGCTTCTTCCGTCGAACTTCACCGATAGCAGATATTGTTATTCTGGCATTTGTGGCTAACGGGACGAAGATGAAAGCGATGAAAAACGAGGGTATGCTTGCAGCTTTCGACAGGCTCTGAACACTGTGAATAAGGGGTTCGGCTAAAAGACCTAACATAACAATCCCGAGTACCAAAAGGGATATCGCTTTAATCCATGCAAACGGCGATTTATCGACGAATTTACTTTCCACTAACTTGTCCGTCTCTTCCCAGTTTTGCTGCATTGTTGTTATAATAAAAAGAAAATGATTCTTTATTCATTAATCATCCCTTTTTGGAGTAATCTTGAATATGAGTTGTAAGAGTTGTGCTTACGTGATAATCAGATTCTTCATTAATTTGCTCGGGTTTTGGAGTTTGATTAATACTGATTGCGTTCAGCCAATTCGACAATCCAGTTACGAATTCATCCTCGTTTATCAATTTATCTCCACTTATATCGAGTTCTTCCATCATTTTGGAAGCTGCTTCATCTATATCATGTGGTATGCTTCCGAATTTAATATCCATCATAAGATCTCTGAGCTCGGAATACGAGATGAGGTCATCTTTATCATGGTCAATGTCTTTGAACAACCTGCCATTAACTAGTCACTCAGTTGATCTTTCCATTCAAGAATCGTGTTATAGTTTTCGAAATCTAGATATTTTATAAGTACGATTAATAAAAGAATGGAATCAGTCCGAAACTATTGGACCTTTTTATAGCAGGTATATCTGGAGTTCCATCTTCTGTTAAAAGGCTGCCGTGTGTGGAGCTCTGAAGATGCTCTAAAATTTCTGGAACGATATTTTTCATAATTTCTCGTTCCTCCCTTTTCTTCTCCATCCAAGGGCGGAGAACCTGTTCAAGATGAATAGATAAAAGTAAACTAGATAATCGACGCATTGTTACTTGGTGGACAAAACTATGGGTTGAAATTGGACCGATCGGAATTAGCATTGTCGAAAATATTCTGATTTCTTTTGGAAGTGAAAAATTAATTCCTATTTTGTTCCAAAAATCATCGGAAATTGGAATTTCTGAAATCGCAAATGAAGAAACTTGTTTCGAAGTTGGAAATTTTTGGATCGGAGTTGGTGATAAAACAAACAATATGAAAGCATAACAATTAATATTGATATTGTAAGTGTAATATTCTGAAGAAAAAAATGGAATTTTCAGAATTACTTTCGGTTCAGATCAGAAATCGGAATCTCATATATACTCCAATTCCGATCCAAAAAGATCGAATAAAAATCGGATCTTATAAATAATCCAATTTAGATCCAAAAAATTTTGGCAAAAAATCGAATTCGGAATGGAAAATGTTGTTCCAAAATAATAAAATCTGGGATTGGAAACGGCGAAAATCGGAAAATCCGTTCCAATTTCCACCCCTATACAAAACACACAAACTTTAGCAGTATGCAAATTCATCAAGAATGCTAAAAATTTATTTTGTACTACGATACGAAAATACGTTAATTTACCGCTGCAATCATATGAAAAGTAGGGTACCTCATCTAAGCGATAGGTTTCGCCGGAGTCCTTCTTTGTCTCCTCAACCCATTTCTCCATTCCCTTAACAAACTCATTAATATTTATCTTCTTGTTATCGTCCACATCGAATTCCTTCATCATGTCTTGGGTTGCTTTGTCTTTGTCGGAGTACATTTTTCTAAATTTAATTTCTTGGAGAAACCCTTTGAGCTCAGAAGCATCGATAGTTTCGTCTCCATCTCGATCCGTAACTTTAAATATTCTAAAGAAATGCACTAAAGATGTCACATATATAATCAACAATGCTTCAACAAATACAATCGAAATTCAGAATCGAAATACCTTCTTATAACAGATAAATCCGGAGCACCGTCATCGGAGAAGAGGGTCTCGTTCGTATGATTTTGCACATGTTTAAGTATGTCTACAACTAAATGGCCATGCTTTAGATACAATAGTTGCCTCCCTTGAATCCAAGGCTGAAACAACTGCTCAATTTTTGAAACAAAGATTTCAATAAGAATAAGGAACCATGTTCAACACTCTATATTATATTCCACTTTACCATTTAAAAAATAAATAAAATTAAATCTGCACTCTCTTTCTAGTTTCTACATATAAAAAACTTGACAATAAGACGGTGTTTGGCTAAGCATATAAGATGTTAAAAATAGCTTATAAGATGTTTAAGAGCTTATAAGCTCTTCCAAAGTGTTTGGTAATTTTTTTTGAAAAAATCTTATTGTTTAAATATAATCTGTTTGAGAGCAAATAAGATTTTTTTAATAAATACATCAACTCCACCTTTTTATTTAAGATAACACTTCAAAATTTAATTCTAAAATATCAGCTCTTAAAACATCTTATCATCTTATCAGATGTAAGAGTTTATCAACTATTTAAAATAAGCTTAGCCAAACGGGCCCTAAGAAAGAGAGAAATACAATAAAGTTAAACCACTATAAATTAATACAGTTGAGATTAACAAAATTCTATTAATTTAGCTAAATATTAAATTATCGAACTAATAGTTTAGTATGTTCTTACGGAGTCGACACCCGAAGAAATTATTATTTAAGCAAGGTCATTAATTTATCGAGATTCTACTGTACCTGATAGAAGAAGTAAGAAAGCAAGAATGTGACAGAAACAAGCAGAGCGACCACGACGAATATTCGCTCCCAGAAGTAAGATAAATCGAAGAGTACTGGAAATTGGATGATCGTAAACGGGATCGCTGAGATAAGCATTATCCATGCGGTGTAGCCCGTCCATGAATCTGTCACTACGCCATAACCTGAAGCAATAGAAAAATACCCAATTCGGAAAATTAGGGCAAAAAAACGAAAACGAAAACCTAATCCAAAAATGGATCCAATTAATTCAACAACTAATATGAATGATTAATTGAAAATGATTGCTTGGAAATAACAGAATCTAGAATTACCAGGCCATAGTGATAAGAAGAAATTTTGAATAGGGTTTTGATTTGTGGAATCTGAAGATTGAGAAGAATTGGGAAAATGTTGACTGCCGAGAATAACGCAGGTTCCCCAAACAAGAGTGAGAAGCAAAATGGAGGATCCGGCGAGCAACCCGACTCCGGTTAACACGCATTCTTGAGCTACTTCTTTGTTGTTCAACAATCCAGATACTGTCAATTAAATGGAGGGAATAATTTAGGATGATATTTGAAAACATTGACTATAGTCTATAAGTACCTTTTGAATTTATAATTATATCTCAACCCTATTTATAATATATAATATAATTTTTTTTAGTAATATAATTTAATTTTTGGCACTTAAATAAAAAAAATATGATATGGATAAATAACATGAATAAAAAAAGGTAAATTACATGCACCTCTGAATTAAGGTCAAATTATAAATCTCTTGTGTTTCAATTATTACAATCATCCATTAACTATAAATATTTTTACACGTTCATTATTTGAGATGTCAAATTTTGTCGAATCTTCTAGATTATTTAGAATATTCTCTTATTTGTATTCACTTTATCTCATTCGAGCTCCACATTTTGAAACAAGATGATCATAAGATGTGTCTCTTTGGCTTGTAATTATCAGATTGTGGTGCTTGGAAACTGGATTTGCACAAAATGAGACAAATTAAACTAGAGAACATTCTATAATATATAGAAGATTCTGTTGAATTTGTCACCATAATAGCGAATGTGTGAAAAGATTCATAATTACTAGACATGAGAATTTTTTTTCGTAATTTGACCTTACATAAGGGTAGCCATAATTTACCCTTAAAAAATTATCTCCGAACAATGTAAACCAAGACACTTTTAAACCTCAATAAACTTTTCTCAACACATTTTCCCTGAATTCCTAAAATAAATTAAATTAATCTAAAAATGGTCAAAATTAACAGAAAAAACATCTAACTGCGGGGCCCGGTGAAGCTGTCAATTGTGATAATGGCAAATTGCCAAATTGTGTTTAAAAGAGAAAAAAAAAATCCACTATACGATTAAGTTTAGCTAGTGAATCAAATAAATAAATATATTAAAAAAATGGTTAGGTAGGTTTGCATATGCATGCTTTATTCAAACTTAAACAACTAATTAAACGCTGTCCAACTAATCAATCAAATGACATGATTTGATTGTGCAATTATTTTAGTCAATACTAAAATATGATTCGTTAAATGATTTATTTTAAGGGTAAATTACAAACACCCCCCTGAGGTATGACCAAATTACAAAAACACCCCTCTTGTTTGGATAATTACAACCACCCCCCTCAACTCATCAAATTTAGTGGAATCTTCGAGATTATATGGAATATTATCACTTTTGTACCCGTTTTATCCCATTCAAACTCTACATTATGAAGCAAGATGACCATAATATGTGATTTTTAGCTTGTATATATCAGTTTGTGGTGCATCGGAAACTGTATTTTTTACACAAAAAGAGTACAAACTAGAGCACATTTCACAGAATCTAGATGACTATGTTGAATTTGGCACCATAAAGGTAAGAAAAAATCATAGTTGAGGGGGGTAGATGTAATTATCCAAACAAGAGGGGTTTTTTTGTAATTTGACCATACCTCAGGGGGTGTTTGTAATTTACCCTTTATTTTAATTAAATCCATCTTAAAGGAAAAGCAATGCCAGCTCATTTAAACTGAGAAAAAAAAAACAAATGAAAAAAAAAAACCAAATCAGGCAAAAAGCGGAATGAGAAAGGAAGTTGTTACCAAGAAGTATAAGTGCTTCTGGAAAAGCTCCGATGATCTGAAAAGCACACGCGCCAAAAACACCTGGTCCCAGAATCTTGAAGATTCTCTCTCCTCCAGCAGCAACATAGGATTCCCCATGAAACAATAGATACTCGTACACCACAATCAAGAAAACGTGTCCCCATATACTCTTCGAACACGGCAGAAATCCGTACATTTGCTCGCACGCTTCTTCTTCTTCCAATCTTATCACAGAAAACGTGTTTTCATCCTCTTCAATCCGGCCGTCCACCCCATCCAATATTAATAAATCGGAGGCACCGTTTGGCTCACGCCGACTTATCGCCCGATTGGGTATTAACACGACGAATATGAGAACGAGAAAATACGAAAGAAATCGTGTTTTCATGGTGTTCAATTTTTTTTGTTTTCTGGAGAATGATGGTTCTTTTTTGGTGGTGTTATGTTATATATGTGTGTGAAATGATTAGTTAGTGTGTGTGTGTGTGTTTTTTGAAATTAGTTGACCGTTGACCAATATAGTATAATAGAAAATTTTCAAATGGACAGATAATGTATGTATAGACTATAGATCTTACAAGAACATGGCTAATCTGGAATTTGTATCTTTATTAATTAATTATTTACTAAATCATTTATACAAATACAAATAATTAATGAATAAAAGAATGCTGTATAAAAACAATTATGCTTCAATTTACAAATATTTTTACGACGAAGACGAATAAAAATGTCCGAAGATGTAGACCAAGACTAGTGACAACGGATACATCAAATACGCCGAAATCGAAGTCCAGACGGGATAAATTCTACTCAAACTCGAAAAGATTCCAACTATGCCAGACACAATCGTAACAGCCAGAATTTCCGCAGAATAATTCCACGCCAAACCGCGGAAGTAAACGAGCGAAAGAAGAACAATTAATCCCAGAACGTTGTTCATTAACACCGTACTGTATATCTGCATTAATAAAAAAAAAATCAAAATTGAGTTAATTTCAAGAATTAAACATCATTAAACTAATTAAACTCGTAGTAATTAATTATTCAATTAAAATTAATGACCTCGGAGAATGTCAAAGAAGTGAGGTGCAGCTTCTTCCTACGGGCCTCACGCACAGCGGATACAGCTATACGAGCATTCGTAGTCAACGGGACTAATACAAACGCGACGTAAAACGACGGCACTTTTGCTGATTTAGAGAAGTTTCTAACACTTTGTATAAGAGGCTCTGCTAAAAGGCCAAGCATAACTAGCCCGAGCAATAAAAGGCCTATAGCTTTCGCCCACGCTAATTTTGATTTATCGATGAATTTTTCCTCCAATAGCTTGTCCGTTTGTTCCCACGTTTTCTGCACAATTAAATTAATGTCGTTTATTAAGGTTTCGTATATTAATTAAAAAAAATACGGTCTTAATTAATCGAAGTTTTTACTTACTTGATAAGTATCATCTTCACTCTCCTTTGAGTTTCGACCGCGAATATCAAGAGTGGTGTTTAACAATTTGAACAATCCATCGACAAATTCCTCTTCATTAATCACGTTGTCTTCGTTAACATCGAGCACTTTCATTAGCTTCGATGCTGCTAATTCCGCATCGTACGGAATCGTGCCGAATTTTATGTCCGTCATCATTTCCTTTAATTCGGAATACGATAAGCATCCGTCTTTGTCAGCATCGATTCTTTTGAATAACCTGCAATTTGTATATATACATGATCAAACGAATTACTTATTATACCGATTTTATTTATTTTTAATAAAATAAAATAGATAGGTACTCTTTAATAGCATGAATATTCGGAGTTCTATCGTCTGCCAAAAGGCTCCCATAAACAGAGTTCTGAAGATAATCCATAATATCCGGAATCAAATGTTTCATGATTTCGCGTTCTTCCCGTTTCTTTTCAATCCACGGTTTAAGAACCTGCAACACATAATATAATTAAATTTCACAAAACATCATGAATTTATCCATTTAAATAATAATAATAATAATAATTAAAACTTACCTTGTACAAGTCTTTCAGTGATTTAACAGAGTGTAATCGTTTATTCATCGCATCCTTTGTGTCGTCGAGCAATTTGGTCATTCCTTGTACAAATTCTTCCTCCGTTATTTGCTGATCGTTGTTCGTGTCGAACGCTTTCATAATCTCCGCAGCAGTGTTTTCCTCATCCGATTGGAACTTTCGAGTTTTGATTTCTTGCAAAAACGCTTTGAACTCCGCAAAAGATATCACCTTATCGCCATCGCTATCAGTTTCTCCGAATAGCCTGCATTAAAATTATCGGATAAAATTAACATAGACTATTTTTATTCCATACTACATAATAAATAAAATAAATCAATAAAAAATCGGAACCTTTTAATTGTCGATATATCTGGCATTCCATTTTCATCCAAGAGGTCCCCTGCTGTCTGATTCTGGACATGGTTTAGAATGTCGACTGCTAAATGCTCGTGTTTTATGTACAGTAAGCGCCTCCGTTGAATCGAAGGCTTGAAAAACTACTCAAACAAAAAGTTGTCATAATTATTATAATTAGTAGGATTAATTAATTAAATAATGTTAGTTAAGATAAATCAAGAATTAAGTTACCTGATAGAAGAAGTAGCAAAGAAGGAAGACAATCGAAACAACAAGAGTGAACAACACGAAAACTCGTTCCCCGACGTACGATAAACGCAAAAATGTCGGAAATTGGACCATGATTAATGGTATTATAGATAGAAGCATGATTATGGAGGTGTTTCTTGCGCCGGTAAGTGTAGATACACCGTTTCCTGTAACGCAAACGACAATCGAAATTAATTTTTTTCTTTTTAAATTTCAATAATAAATAATTAACCGAAAAGAATTTATTCGTGTAAGAAAAACTGAGCAAATATATGAAATGAAATTAAACCTGGCCATAATGAAAAGAAGAATCTTTCAATAGGGTTGTATGATATATTATTAATTTCTGAGAGATTGTTCTGCAAATGAGTGGAGAAATCTTGACTGCCAAGTAAAACACATGTTCCCCAAATGAGAGTGAGGAGCAGGATTGATGAACCGGCCAGCAAACCGACTCCGGTCAAGACCAATTCCTCGGCGGTTTCGTTGCTTCTATTGGTCAACCCTGATGCTGTAATAATAATAATATAATAATTAGGAATAAAAAATAATTAATTATATTTTTGATGATTAAATTTAAATAAATAAGTCTGATTGTATTACATGCACGCACCCCTAATGTATGGTCAAATTACGAAAATCCCCCTCTTGTTTGGGTAATTACAACCACACCTCTCAACTATAAAACCTTTTACACCTCCACCCTTGCGGTTTCAAATTTAGTGGAATCTTCGAGATTATATGGAATATTATAACTTTTATACCCGTTTTATCCCATTCGAACTCCACAGTTTGAAGCAAGATGATCATAATATATGTTTTTTGGCTTGTATATATATCAGATTGTGGTGCATCAGAAACTGTATTTTTACAACTAGAACATATTTCACGAAATCTAGATGAGTATGTTGAATTTGAAACCATAAGGATGGAAGTGTAAGAAAAAATCATAGTTGAGAGATGTAGATGTAATTATCCAAATAAGAGGGGTTTATCGTAAATTGACCATACCTCAGGGGTTGGTTGTAATTTACCTTATATAATATGAAACGTACCGAGAAGAATGAGGGCCTCCGGGAGGGAGCCGATGATCTGAAAAACACTGGCGCCGAAAAGACCGGGTCCGAGAATCTTGAAGATTCTTTTCCCACCTGATGCCACGTAGGATTCCGCGTGGAAGAGTAAGTACTGGTAGACCAGAATCAGGAAGAAATGCCCGGGGTTTGTCTGCGAACACGGCAGAAACCCGTACATTTGCTCACATGACGACTTCTCCTCCTCCTCCTCGCCGGAATATTCCATTATTATTCCTTTCGAAGAAGAGAGACCGTTTTTCTCGGGAAATTCGTCCGCCACCCCGTCTGAGACGACCAACCCCGGCGAACTATTCGGCGACGGCCGGGAAATAGTGACGCCGGGGAATAGTAAGATGAATATAATAAGATGAACAAGTGCAAAACAGAGAGTTTTCATGGTAATAAATGGAAATATTGAACTTTTGTTTCATTGGGAATAATAATTATGCTTAACTACATATATATAATAATAATTGCTGAATAAATCAAAGTTGGAAATTTAGTCGCCGAGGAAGTTTCATCGTGGCGTACATGTCGTGATTAATAATGGTACTGTATGCTAAACGAGTTGTACCATTTGCATGTTACACAAGAAAACGGTTTCTTGCAAGCTACTCTTGACGTCATCAACATTGGTTAATAATACGTCACACCAAATTAATGATGATATATGCTTAATTAGATTTCCTTTGATTTTGAACCTTTGTAACTTATATACACACATTTCATACGTCCTCGTATGGATTATGATCAAAGAATTAAGGGGCTAAGCGTAAGATGTTTAATAGCTTCCAAAATATTTGATAATTTTTTTAAAAAAAAATCTTAAATTTTTTTAAAAAACTAAGTTGTTTAAGAACAAATAATTTTTTTTTAATAAGTACATCGACCCCACCTTTTTATTTAGGATATTATAATGAATAAAAATATTAAATAAGATCATTATCCAAATACTCTAAAAATTAATTCTAAAACTAAAATATAATGCTTATCAACTCTCAAAATATCTTGTCAGACGCAAAAGCCGCTTATCAGTTGTTTAAATAAGTTTAATCAAACGGACCCTATATCCAATCAGCAATGAGGTGCAAGATGTTAACGTGTACAAATTTGCATAAATCGTTAATTAGGTTTTGTTTGACTTTGTCAAATTAAGAAATTGTGTACCATTGTTAATTACTTCAAAATACCAAAAAAAGAAAGGAAGACCTTCAAAAAATATTGGAATTTGTTTTTTGAAAGTCCATTCAAAAGTTTGTAAGTTTGTATATCTAGAGATTAAATTGTTATGCGTTGACTTTGGTACATGAGTAATGAACTAATTAATAAATAATTATCATAATACAAAGACATATATACTAGGCAGTTTCATTCCGATAAACATGAAAATATATTAAATTAACTATCACTAAATTTTGGAATATGGGATTGTCTTCATTGTTGACTTTTATATGGCTTTAGATAACTCTCTCTCTCTCTCTCTATATATATATATATATATATATAAAACAATTCTTTATTGATGAAAATGATTGAAAATAGTTCATGACGCCGAAAACAAATTAATTAATTAATTAGGGCTCCTTCAATTACCTATATCTGATTAGTTTGTGAATTAGATGAGAATTAATTATTTAATATATAATGATTTAAGTTAAATATCTTGTGCTGGTCATTATAATTTCCTGACTCGGAATATTATCACTCTTGACTTCTTCAAAAAACAAAAATTTTAAATTGACAAATCTTCAAAGAATATTGATGTTATATTTTCCACAAATTTGGTATTTACTGATTCCAATTCCCGAAGAATACTTTCTCAGATAAAATGATTTATTTTGTAATTTATACATAATGCAGTGACTAATTGTAATTTCACATTAAAATAGTAGCTAGTGTAACACAGAACTCAAAAAATTAATTTATTTACTCAAAACTAGTAAAAATCAAACAAAATTGAAAAATAAAGACAAGGATAGTTCATTATTGAAAGTTGATTCTAGAAGCGCCCAATTTAACTCAAAGATTAGCAGCTTGTGAAATATTATTTTATTTGTGAATTGGAAACTTACTGAAAATTTCATCGGCCAAATTGTAATTAGAGAAACTTTAATAATCTTTCAATATTTTTTATTCGATTTACCTAACTTCAATAGTGACAAAGAATTGCTGGACCACCCCCAATTTAACTCTAGCTTTACATCTTCATTTGATTCTTTCCGATCCATAAATAAATAAATTTGGTTCTTTTATTGAAAAATCTATAGTCGTATAAAAGTGGGCACGACTAGGGTTGGAAATCTATACTCCGAAATTTCGAAATTATTTGGATCGAAATTGGAATATATATGAGATTATGATTTTGTGATCCGATGTCAAGTTTCGAAAATTCCAACTTCATTTTTTTTTTTGAATATTACGCTTAAGATACCAATGATATTGTCTATTTTACATTTTATATTATGTGACCAAAAAATAGAAATTTCCGAAATTTCCATTCCGAATTTTTTTTTTTGGAACGAAATCGGAACTAGTTTTTCACTTCTGAAAAAAAAAAGTCAAGGTTCAATTTCCATTCTCAAGAACAAGATGCTGTCGATTTAGTCACGGTTCAATTCATTTTTTGGACTTACTTAGAAACTTGCCCTGCACTTTCTTAATTTAGTTCTTTTCTGGAACTTCACTGTCACACTTGTTTCCATGAACATTCTTGAATACTAGTGTTCCATTTTTATTTTATTTTTTTAATTATATATATGTAAGAGTAACCCTTCATTGAGAATTCCTTTGGTTTCTAAATATGCTTTTTCTTGTTGATCATTAATTAATTTCTAAACCTGAAAATGAATTCATATAATTTCTATGTGCTGCTTTATTTTGTGGCATTAGCCTTTGCTTCAGTAAATTTAATTACTACAAAAGGGGATGAGAGTAGTGTTTTAGGTGTCATTTTGGATTGCAACAGCCGCGTCGGTAAAGAAGAAATCGTCGCAATTGAAATCGCAATCGAAGAGCTAAACAACCAGCAAAACCGGAACCTGATTCTCCGCGTCAAATGCTCTCGCGGCGAATCAGTTCTCGCAGCTCAAGCCGGTAACAAAATACTTTCATATTTATTAAAAAAAAAAAAAAAAAAAATAATAATCTTGATTAAGTTCTACTGTCATCATATTAACTGGAAAAGTTGTTATTTTTTTCAGCCAGGCATCTAATCAGCAAGAGCCACGTGGCAGCCATACTCGGACCAAATTCATGGGAGGAATCATCCGCAGTCGCCGAGGTTGTGGCTGCCACCGCCCACCAATCCGACATTCCGATTCTCTCCTTCTCCGATTCAGCTCCGCCGTGGGCCACCGACCGGTGGCCCTTCTTCGTCCAGGCGGCCCCCGCCACTTCCAACCAGATGAAGGCGGTGGCCGCCATAATCCAGAGCTGGAACTGGCGCCGCGTCAACATCATTTACGAGGAAACCGACTCATCGTCGTCCGGAAACATCCTCAACCACCTCTACGCTCCCTTCCGGGACGCCGGAGTCCAAATCGACGCCCTGTCCCCGCTCCCGTTTTTCGCCACGTCAGCAGCGCTGTCAGACGAGCTGGATAAGCTGAGGCGGGCCCAATGCCGGGTGTTTGTGGTCCACACCGGCGTAGCCCTGGCGGAACGTATATTCGCCAGGGCCCACCAAATGGGGATGATGGAGAAGGACTACGTGTGGATCGCCACCGACTCCATCACGAGCCTCGTCCACTCCATGAGCCCGCCCGCCATCTCGTCGATGCAGGGCGTCGTCGGAGTGAGACGCCACTTCCGCGACTCCGGCGATAAATTCCGCGAATTTCGAACGAAATTCGTGGAAAAATTTAGCAAAAGATACCCCGGGGCCGAGAAAAATCACGGCCCCGGGATTTTCGCCCTGCAAGCATACGATGCCGCAAGGTCAATTGGATTGACAATCAACGGCACCAAAAAAATCGATGAGATCGATTTTGATGGACTAAGTGGGAAAATCGAGTACAAAAACAGAAAATTATCCCCTGTAGTTCAGTTCCAGATAATCAACATCATCGGAAGAAGTTATCAAGAGCTCGGGTTCTGGTCCGATGGTTCGGGCTTCTCTACGGTTCTCGACAATACGGTAAAATCGAACAATTCCTCCATGGAAATCTTGGGGCACGTGGTTTGGCCCGGCGGGCCGTGGTCGACTCCGAGAGGGTGGGTTCTTCCAACCGTTTCGAATCCTCTGCGAATCGGCGTCCCCAACGTTTCCCTCACAAGCAAATTCGTCAAAGTCGAGTACAACGCGGCGACAAAAAATTACTCCTTCTCCGGATTTTCAATAGAAGTGTTCAACAAAACTGTACAGAACTTGAACTATTCACTACCGTACGAGTTCATACCTTATAACGGAAGCTACACCGATTTGGTGAAGCAAGTTCGGTTGAAGGAGTTCGATGCAGCCGTGGGAGACATTGCAATAATATCGGGAAGATACGACTAAGTAGAGTTCTCGCACGCCCACACTCAAGGGGGACTCGTTATGGTGGTCCCGATCGAGAAGTACTCGAACCGAGCCTGGCTGTTCATGAAGCCGTTCACAAAGGCAATGTGGCTGCTCACGGGCCTCATAAACATATACAACGGCTTCGTTATATGGAGCATCGAGAGAGAACACTCGACTGATCTCAAAGGGCCCTTTTTCAACCAGATCGGCCATCTCCTCTGGTTGGCTTTCGCCACTCTGCTCTCGCTAAACGGTAACTTTCTTTTACCTACCTTAAATTTACTTTATCTGGCATTTTTCACTATTTTACTTATCTTTAGCTAATTTTAATCTTTCGAACCAAACGAGCCCCTATTTGACTCGTTGTTTATCTTGACTTGCGCGACGGACGACAGGACAGAGATTGCATAGTAACCTATCGAAAATGGCGACGGTGGTGTGGTTGTTCGTGTCTCTGATCATCACGCAGAGTTACACGGCCAGCCTCACGAGCATGCTCACCGTGCAACGGATAGAGCCCAAAATAGCGAATATCGAGATGCTGAAGAACGCGAACGCGTTCGTGGGGTGCTCCAAGGTCTCTTTCGTGAAGACTTACTTGACGGATGCCCTGCAGTTCAACTCGGGCCGCATCAAGAGCTTCACCACCCCGGAGGCCTACGCGCAGGCCCTCAGGAGCGGTAAAATCGCCGCGGCCTTTCTCGAAATCCCCGTCGCCAAACTATTCGTGGCTAAGTACTGCAAGAGCTTCGTCATCGCGGGCCCCACTTACAAAGTCGGAGGATATGGATTTGTAATATATAATTACTAATATTTTTTTTCTATATATCAACTCATTACATATATTTCTACAATGTATATTTATATATGTTTGGTTTTTTTGATGTTTAAAGGCTTTTCCAAAGGGTTCTCTATTGGTGGCTGACGTGGACAAATCATTGTTGGATGCATTTGAAAAGGGGGTGGTGAAGGACTTGGAGAAGAGCTTGATAGAGTCGGAGATATGTGTCGATATTCCGGTGGATAATGAGACGACGAACGCGAGTTTGAGCCCTCATAGCTTTTTCGTGCTCTTTATATTCACCGGCGGTACTTCCACCGCAGCGCTGGCCATCTACTACATTCGGAGCAGACGGAAAGTGGATGACGTGGCGTACGAGCACAAAGGGATTTGGATGTTCCTTGTACTCATGGTCCTCAAGAAATGGAGATATCGGAGAAACCGAATGTCCCGAAAAGTTAGTGATTTGGAAAGTCCCGCGGATTCTCATTCTTGATGGATCACCATGCATCAACATGTATATACATGTACGAAGTTTACATGATTAACTGATCTTAGAAATGCCATATCATAGCCTTATAATATGATTCCGCGTAGAAATGTATAAATGCACGATTTTTCATGCAATTTATACAAAATAAAATTAGATTTTTTTTTAATTAAACTTTGTACATTTCTTCAACAATATAAATAACAAGTCATACAAAAAAAGAAACTTGGATAACGAATTTCTAACCTACAATTACAAAAAAAGAAAAAGTAAATACTCACAACCCCAACACCAAACCAATACCTACCTTTTGACTCCCAATGTTGACTTTCAACCAATTTAAACTACAAAAAAATAAAAATAAAGAAAAAACGAATTTTTGAAATTAACCAAGAAATTAAACCCTACCCAAATCAAGAAGCACTACAATAAAGTCATGTCATCTGCAACTGTTCCACGTGTCCTTCTCACAGGCTCCAATCACCAGGCGAGGCGGGTCCCACCACGACATTAGATTTTTAAAAAGAAAAAAAACGAAAAAAAATATATATATTATATATAGAGATAGATATAGATATAGATAGAGACACACCATGTGACATCTCGCATGCACCAATTGGCCAATTAATCGTTAAAAATGCGTTACAGCTCCCAAATCATGCTTTACTAGCTAGTCCCACGAACTCATTATTTTTATTATTATTATTCCTCGCCCGTACAATTACCCCGCCTGTTGAAAGCAGCCACCGGCGGCGCAGCTGCCTGATGCGGTGGTGCTGCGGCGGCGCCGGCCGCTCTGTCGTCCATCTTCTTGATGCTCTGTTCGTGGTACACTTTTCTTAGCCTTTCAATTTCCTTCTTCAGTGCTTCTTGATGCGCTGATAAACGCAATGCTAATTAATTTAATTAATGAACACATCACTAATTTTTTATTTTATTTTATTAAATTACTCTCTCTACTTATTATTTAAAAATTAAAATTAAATTAATAAATGCAAGTAGTTTCTTCACTGAAAACTACAACTACCCATTTGTCCTATTACATGCAAAATATTCTACTATTCAATTATACACAGTTTCTGGATCCATCTATCTTTATCTTGACAATCAAACGAGACAAATATATATTATATCGTATATGAATATTGTGACGAAATATGTTAATTAATAAGTTATTATTATTATTATATAAGGTAACTATATATATATTAAAATTTATTTGAGGTATGTTACCATCTTTGAATAGTTTGTCTTGAGCCAAAGCTGCAATCCTCTGCTTAAGAGCACTGTTATCCACATTCAGTAGAAGTCTCTGATGGTCCAAAAACGCAACCCTCGGCGACAATGCCGATACCTCAGTCTTTGTCGCGTCGATCGCAAATATATATATAATTTTCATTAATTATTACATAATTGGAATTAACTTATACAGAAATTTAACTTAATTATTACTTTATTCATTTGTCTATTATACTTATATATAATACCTGTAATGATGTAACACTCCTTTCAAGCTCAGAAATGTATTGCAACTTCCTCACTCTTGACCTCTGAGCTGATTGCCGGTTCGCCAAGATTCTGATTTCATTAATTTATTATTATTATTAATTAT